ACCCCAGGGAGCTGAAGGTGCAGTCCTTCCTCCCCAGCGGCAGTGTGTACCCCAGGGAGCTGAAGGTGCAGTCCTTCCTCCCAGTGGCAGTGTGTACCCCAGGGAGCTGAAGGTGCCGTCCTTCCTCCCCAGCGGCAGAGTGTCCTGCAGGGAGCAGAGACCGTCAGTCTCGCACCCCAACCACAGGACAAAATAATGAAAGGGGAGACAGCTGGTCCCCCTCTCCACCAGCAGAGAGTGTGTCAGGGAGAGGAGCCTGATACCCCCTCTCCCCAGCGGCAGTTTACAGTTCAGAGAGAGGAGCTTGTTACACCCTCTCTCCAGCGGCAGCCTAACCCAGCAAGGGGAGATGTTACACCCCCCAACAGTGCAGATGGGACTGTAGTCTCTGCACTTACAGCACAAGGGGTAGGGACAGTCGGTCCTGTTCCCCAGCCACAGAGCGGTGTATCCAGAGGGGAGACAGTCGGTCTCTCCCTCCCACAACCAGGCTCCCACCAGGCTACTTCCGTGGTAGCACTGGCATCAGGGCAGAGTACCGCTGGTCTCTGCCCACTCAGCAACCCACCAAGGCAGCCTAACAGTTGCCCACACAGTCGTGGTGAGGCACCTGGACATGGACAAAGTTCTCCTCTACCCAGGTGTAGTAACCAGTTATTGTGGGTGGGCTGTACTGCTGTTTCTGTTTTGTGGGTGGGTTGCTGGACTAACCAGGGCACTGACCGGCAGGAGGTCAGATACCCTGTTAGTCTTGTTGGTAAAGGGGAGAAGTGTGGCGAAACCAACCTCGCCACTGTGAACTGGAGAAGCCTGGTTGCTCGCCTGCTCCCTTTGGACTATGGCCCTGCAGGTTAAACCATTTATTTCCCCTGCAGAAAGGCTTATTTGTGTGATCTGAGTGCCATTCATCTAATAATGTGCACTCAGATCCCAGCTATCTGGGGATATGTGAAATGTCTGTGTGTTATGTGTAAATGTGACTTTATGTATTTTAAAGTGTTTTGTGTCTTTTTGCAACCATGTGCTTAATGGAGTCTTGTGTCTATCCTGGGAGATAATTGAATTACTCTCCAGGATAGAAGACTCTGAAACTGGTTTGGGCCAGAAAGCCATGCTTCATTTAGTCACAAAGGACTTTCCCTTAACTTTTGAACCCCTGGTCTGATTCGTGCCATTTTTTAATATGTTGTTCCCCTGAATGGATTGATTATGAAAATGTATGTTTTATGTTTGTGACATGTATTTTTAGAAGTTATAAATATTGTGTAAAAACTGTATTCCTCTGCCGGTGATAATGAGATTACCCATTGTGTTCAGTAATCATATCACCTGCAGAGGGGAGGATTTTGTGTGGGAGTGTCTGGGTGTATTGTACGGATTGATTGGTTGTTTTGTAACGCCCTGTGGGCTGTACTATGTTTGTGGATTGGGAATAAAAGAGACTGTATGTGACAGTACAGGGAGTTCCTGTTTTAACCCTCAAAGTGAAGTGTCGTCTCATTATTGGGGGAAGGATTTATTGTATGCTGTTCCAGTTTGACTGCTAGGAGAGTAAACCTATTTGTATGGTTCCTATTCAACTGTCTACAGCATTCATATGCTTGGGAGAATTTATTTGTTTCTCCGGTTCGGTGATTGTGGTGTCTGCCAGAGTGCTTGGAGTCCTCAGGAAGCGCTAGGAGCATCCTTCAACGGAGGTACCCAGTCGGGGTGCCAGGCGATCCGTTACATTGGTGGCAAGCGGTGGGATGGCGTCCTAGTGCGAGGTAAAGCAGCTCAGAGACACAGTTCGTGGATTTACAAATTGAAGGTGACGCTAGTGTTCATACAGCGTCCCTGTCTACATAAAGATTTGGGAAAACCAGCACTACTTCAGAGATGGAAGGCCGTGCAGTATCTCACTTTGACGCCAGGCTCCAGCAGCGACTACAGGATGTGATGCGTAGTATGGAGTATCCTATCCCAGAGGAAAGAGAGACAGAGTGGAGGGTGGCGCTTCGTACCGATCTCTGGAAGGAGGACATCGACGAAATTCGACCCTTCCGGTGCGAGGAAATCCTGACCACTAACCAGCGCCAAGCAGAACAACTAGAGCTGCGGATGCCGTTATTGGGAAACCAGCCCTCAGAGGAATGGGTAAGCGAACTGGAGACGCTAGTTGAAACTGAGGTGTGGCTGGATGATTCCTATCGGGCCCTGCGGTGGCATGTTTACCACCTCTACCCATGGCTGATTGAGTACAAGTGTATTGAGGGGGAAGACTACGACGGCCCTGGTTTGTTGTGGGATACTATTGAAACTAGTCTCTGGTTCGGAGACACCGACATTGCTCGCTTCTGGTCCATCCGAGCTGAGCGGGCAGACAACTGGGACCTTACAGAGATCGATGCCATTCAGCCAGATCTATCTTTTCTTGCCAACCGAGAGTGGGAACTAGAACAGGATTATGTTTGCCTATTCCAACGTATAACGCCGCCTGTCTTTGACATGATGGGGCTTATTGACTGTATACCACCGGAAGCATTGAGTTTAGTTCCTCCTCCCCAGCAACCAAGCCTGTTATCAGGAGACTTTGGTACTGTACCACATATGTCCCAACCAGCCCCAGAGATGGAAGACCTTATTGACTTGTCCTGGGAAGACACCCAGCTGGCAGGTGGGGATGGGACCGAGGTCTCTCTACAGGCCCTACAGGGATGCTGGGCAGTCAGCCCAGATCCCCAGCGGCAGTATGTATCCCAGGGAGCTGAAGGTGCTGTACTTCCTCCCCAGCGGCAGTGTGTCCTGCAGGAAGCGGAGACAGTCGGTCTCGCTCCCCAGCAGCAGGGCAATATATTAAAAGGGGAGACAGTTGGTCCCCCTCTCCAACAGCAGAGAGTGTTCCAGGGAGAGGAACCGGTTATCACCTCTCCCCAGCAACAGGACAAATTATTGAAAGGGGAGACAGTCGGTCTCCCCCTCCAACAGCAGAGAGAGTGTCAGGGAGAGGAGCTTGTTATCCCCTCTCCCCAGCGGCAGTGTGTACCCCAGGGAGCAGAAGGTGCCATCCTTCCTCCCCAGCGGCAGTGTGTATCCCAGGAAGCCAAAGGTGTCGTCCTTCCTCCCCAGCGGCAGTGTGTACCCAGGGAGCTGAAGGTGCCGTCCTTCCTCCCCAGCGGCAGTGTGTACCCCAGGGAGCTGAAGGTGCAGTCCTTCCTCCCCAGCGGCAGTGTGTACCCCAGGGAGCTGAAGGTGCCGTCCTTCCTCCCCAGCGGCAGAGTGTCCTGCAGGGCGCAGAGACCGTCAGTCTCGCACCCCAACCACAGGACAAAATAATGAAAGGGGAGACAGCTGGTCCCCCTCTCCACCAGCAGAGAGAGTGTCAGGGAGAGGAGCCTGATACCCCCTCTCCCCAGCGGCAGTTTACAGTTCAGAGAGAGGAGCTTGTTACACCCTCTCTCCAGCGGCAGCCTAACCCAGCAAGGGGAGATGTTACACCCCCAACAGTGCAGATGGGACTGTAGTCTCTGCACTTACAGCACAAGGGGTAGGGACAGTCGGTCCTGTTCCCCAGCCACAGAGCGGTGTATCCAGAGGGGAGACAGTCGGTCTCTCCCTCCCACAACCAGGCTCCCACCAGGCTACTTCCGTGGTAGCACTGGCATCAGGGCAGAGTACCGCTGGTCTCTGCCCACTCAGCAACCCACCAAGGCAGCCTAACAGTTGCCCACACAGTCGTGGTGAGGCACCTGGACATGGACAAAGTTCTCCTCTACCCAGGTGTAGTAACCAGTTATTGTGGGTGGGCTGTACTGCTGTTTCTGTTTTGTGGGTGGGTTGCTGGACTAACCAGGGCACTGACCGGCAGGAGGTCAGATACCCTGTTAGTCTTGTTGGTAAAGGGGAGAAGTGTGGCGAAACCAACCTCGCCACTGTGAACTGGAGAAGCCTGGTTGCTCGCCTGCTCCCTTTGGACTATGGCCCTGCAGGTTAAACCATTTATTTCCCCTGCAGAAAGGCTTATTTGTGTGATCTGAGTGCCATTCATCTAATAATGTGCACTCAGATCCCAGCTATCTGGGGATATGTGAAATGTCTGTGTGTTATGTGTAAATGTGACTTTATGTATTTTAAAGTGTTTTGTGTCTTTTTGCAACCATGTGCTTAATGGAGTCTTGTGTCTATCCTGGGAGATAATTGAATTACTCTCCAGGATAGAAGACTCTGAAACTGGTTTGGGCCAGAAAGCCATGCTTCATTTAGTCACAAAGGACTTTCCCTTAACTTTTGAACCCCTGGTCTGATTCGTGCCATTTTTTAATATGTTGTTCCCCTGAATGGATTGATTATGAAAATGTATGTTTTATGTTTGTGACATGTATATTTTAGAAGTTAGAAATATTGTGTAAAAACTGTATTCCTCTGCCGGTGATAATGAGATTACCCATTGTGTTCAGTAATCATATCACCTGCAGAGGGGAGGATTTTGTGTGGGAGTGTCTGGGTGTATTGTACGGATTGATTGGTTGTTTTGTAACGCCCTGTGGGCTGTACTATGTTTGTGGATTGAGAATAAAAGAGACTGTATGTGACAGTACAGAGAGTTCCTGTTTTAACCCTCAAAGTGAAGTGTCGTCTCATTATTGGGGGAAGGATTTATTGTATGCTGTTCCAGTTTGACTGCTAGGAGAGTAAACCTATTCGTATGGTTCCTATTCAACTGTCTACAGCATTCATATGCTTGAGAGCATTTATATGCTCCTATGGTTCGGTGGTTTTGGTGTCTGCTGCAGTGCTTGGAGTCCTCAGGAAGCGCTAGGAGCATCCTTCAACGGAGGTACCCAGTCGGGGTGCCAGGTGATCCGTTACAGTATTATTTCATCTGTACTTACCATTGGAAATGAAGTAGCAATTATCAATCTCCCGTTCTTGAATCCAGAACCATTTCTGTAAGCTTTTATCTTAAGCACTCTCTGATTCACAGCAGTTGATAACTTGTGGGCAATAGTCTGTGTAGATCGCTCGAAAATCATGGTTGAAATCATCTCTTCCAAACAGCTCAGGGTATTTTCTGCTTCTGATGTTGAGAGGTCAGTCTGTGTAGGCATAGCAAGAGTTATAAACATGAACAGTATCCATAACATATTCACTGATTTATGTTGCGTATTCTGGATTTGGCTACATCAGAATTCAGCTTTAAGCCGTGGTCTAGATTACTTGATTGTACTATTTGTATTGACCTTGAAAGGATGAAATTCTAAGTTGACATTGCTTGGAAGTTATCTCCGTGACTCTGTATATCTATTGTATCTAAATATAAATGATATAAATTATAATTGTAGAATCCCCCTCCCACAAAATTAAGAACATCAGGTGGTATTTATATATAATAAACAGGTTTATCTTGCTCCAATATGTTAAAGGCTACGTTACTGAACAGTGCGCATTATATTACCTTTGACACATGTAGGCATTTAAAAGGACCCGTCGGGCTTAGTTTAGAATTTTTCTGTCCAGATGCACAAAAGAACAAGTTACCGGCTGGAACTTTCATCATTTCTCTGTGACCACGCATGGTCCTTGCACAGGATAAACACGTCATGACTTTCTCCTTGCCATTAGAGGACAAGAAAGCATATCCCTGTAAAACCAAATAAACATCTTTTCAGGTAAATGCAATTATCATCTCATCAAAACATAATTAAAATCATGGCATATTCTGAAGAACTTGACATATTGCTTATAATGCTTACCCGAATTTCAGATTTACAAATAAAATGCAAGGTTTTATTCAGTAAATGGACAATTGCAAATTTAAGGCCCATGAGATAAAACAGAACAATAACTGGGTTAAAGACAATTTAATTTGAATTTCCAATTTAGTTGTTTTAGCCTAAGTTTGCAATTCCCTGTTTTGTGAATAAAAATTACTAATAAAAAGAAAGCGCTAATATTTGCAGACAGTATTGTATCCGAGGAATACCAGAAAGTGATTTATTGTGGGACTGAATGGTCCATTGTTAAAGGGACAGTCCTGCATCCCTACTGTAGATCTGTTTTCCCTCTCTATTTAGGGGTTTGGAGTAAATGATTACATTGAAAGTACAGTTAAAATTCTGGAAACTTACTCTAAACTCGTTCTGAAACAGTTGACACTTCTGTGAATAAAACTTACAGTGAAAGATACTCCAAATGTGAATGAACAGAAGACTTTCATAAATATAGGAAAAAACTTACCGGTTGACTTAATGCCGCCGCATTGGCTACTGTGAATGTGCATACTGAAGCTTGATTGGCTGCCGTGATCTCTTTGTCCAGCTGATCACTGTGAAAGGCACCCAGTACCTTCATATCGGGAATATAACACCATTTCTGATTTGCTGCACCATTCACGTGCTCCATATATTTCTATAATAAAAAGAGAGATTTTTGGAAAGTGTTAGTTACTCACCTATAAATGAAGCTACCTGAATAAATGGTTGCCAAATGCAGCGAAGTCTGAAGTCTTGCCCATTCTATAACTAAAATCAGGAGATTATTACTTTGAATATTCAGTACGCGTGCTTCATGAATTTCAACAAATATTAAACTAGGTAGGGCTACAGAGCTTTAAAAAAAAAAAAAAAAACTGTAGAAGTTCTCTGTGTCTGATCTCTGCTAGTTCGAGGGCGGTTGGGTCTGGCCATACATTGTGTACGAGAGGATCCCGCATGTGGCCTATATACTCCATACTGGTTACCGCTTTTGAGTCATCCCTGGAAAGGCCCAGTTGAATGCACCGCAAGAGCATCCATCTCCGTATGGAAATAGCGACATTAATTTTACCTGGTGCTCACCCACTACAATTTATGTGACATGCCCGGCTGATGATTCTCTGCACACCATGAAGACCAGGTGACATACCACACATAATACACCAAATCATTAGCTATCCTAACCTACCTTTGCACTATTATGTGTTATGTAACATGAACCGATACTTTGCTATGGACAACCTATCAGAAGGAGCTTCAGTGGAACACGAATGGAGCTTCAGTAAAACACGGAGGCCGCCATCCAGTGGAACGCCCGCGGTGAATACAAGTCTTCGGATTCTGTTTCCAAGCCGGCTGGAGGAGAAGCTGAAACTCTGCATGGGATCCACCTACACATTGGGACTTCAAGATATCTACTGATATGCTCGATTTCCTGGCAGATTTATTAAGGTTTACAGAGAACACTATGTCTCTGTGTTTGTTTCTTTTAGGATGAAGATACCTGCTCTGACCTATTGTAGTGGTCTTGGGTTTATATTATATACCGAAGAAGAGTCTGTATCTTTACTGTTTAGTCTAGATACTATAGTAGTATTGAGTATTTATTGAGTTTTTCAAATATATATACATATAATGTAATAACAATAAACATATCGACAATATACATTGATAATGCATGAGTTTTAACAACAATGAGTCTGCAAATAATTTGAATTTCAACTTGTAGGCAAAAATAATAAATTGGTCAGTTACAATTTTTTGCCCCAGAATTTGAAATCCACTATGAATTGGTAAGTACACAATGTGTTGATGGTATAAAGCAATGACTGATGCTATCTAGATTGGTGTTCTTGAATATTGAATCATTTCTCCTCTCCTGCCCATTTGGATATATGCAGATATTTTATTAAATAGTTGCAACGGTTAACTCCAAATCTGATCCAGACTGCTACATTATTATTATTATTATTATTATTATTATTATTATTGGTATTTATATAGCGCCAACTAATTCCGCAGACCTTTCTAATATCACACGCTGCCTGATGTGCTGGGGTTTTGTTTTGTTTTTTGTTTTTTTGCATTATTGTTAATTGCCATATTTAAGGACAAAGAAACATCCCAGGACACACATAACTCACCTGAAGGATAAGGTTGCATCCTGGAAATGCTTTTTCTGTGTGTTTTTGTCCAGGATAAACCTTTGGCATTGAGACGGCGAGGACCAGTTCTAAGCAGCTTGATAAATGAAATGCCCTAATCAACAACGAAGCAAATATTCCATTATTTATCTGTCTTAGTCTTCTACATGCAGCAAAAGCATTTAACATGTAAGAGGTGTCATGGTTTCAGGTTGCAAGATGTTAAATAATCACAAGACATGATTGTCAGCTCTTAGAAAAACTAGGGTTAATATAAATATATATCAGTACAGAATAATTTGCACATCAACTGGTACAGCTACGTATAGCGTCTGTACATTTTGTGTGCAGGATCTTGTGTATGCCTCTCAAAATTAATAGGTTATTTTCAGGAAATGCATTACACCTATTTGTATAAATAATTTACTTAATTGGGCGTAAATGTATCTAACCGCAGAGACAAACAAGGTTATTTCACTACCGTTTTTTTTATTATTTTTTTTATCTCTTTTCTTCTGGAAACAGCAGGATACAAAATTTGTCGTTTTTTTTGTATCAGCAAGATAAACATAGATGACATTAGCTGCGCCAGAGAGCGTATAATAGCTGCAATGTATTGGAAGACAATAACAAATATTTTGTTTCTAACATGGTTTTATACAGATGGAAGAAATTATATTCATTTAATATAATAAGTGGAGACCAAAATACTACTACTACTAATAAAAAAGAAAATTAAAAACAGATATAGTATTGCACTTAAACCCATTTTCAAAGACAAATAAAATCACAAGAACTTTGTTTTATTTTTTTTGCAAATTGGTATTCCTAAAATACAAAATTATTAATGGTTCTTGAGAACTGGTTTATATTATTGTACCAAGGAACAATATCAGTGCAAACAGTTTAACAAAGAACAGAGGGGTGGCAACAGGGGATTTCAGGCACTATAACCACATCATTGAAATGAAGTGATTATAGTGCTTAGGGTATCCCTCTAATTAGGAAACAGTTACATTTAGATTTTAGACAAATATACACATTCCCCTTTCAAAAGTTCCCTTGGCCCTTTGTAACTCCAAGATAGCCCATACATTAGTCAGGATGCCATCTGCTGTAAAAAATGACCAGGAGACTACAAGAAATGTCCTTGGATCATTAATATCCAGCAGTGTTGCATTGTCAGATCCAGCCATAACAACTGTGAGAGATCTTTAGAATACCCATCCCACCGGTAGAGATAGACCTCCTAAAAAGGGGGCAAGTGGGACCTCAGAAATGGAACCACATCCAAGGGTACCACTTCAAGGCCCAGAACCTCTATTCAATCCTTCACAGAAAAGAGAGGCTCAAGCGCAGCAAAGCTTCTCCTGCTGACCCTCTGGAAGGAAAAGCTTAATTTCCAGGGAGTCCAAAATCAATCCCAGAAATAGAACTTATGAAAAAGGTACCAGGGTGCTCTTTTGACCATCATGGAGAGTAAGACGTGGGTATGCCATACCACCAGGTTGTAACAGGCCACCTGTACATGGATGTAGTCCAGGTATGGAGCAACGATGATACTCAAGGTTGTGCTTGAACTATACAGATATCAAGAACCTTTATCAACACCCTAGGAGCTGTGGCAAGTTCAAAGGACAAGAAAGCAAACTTGTATTGCTTGTCCTGAAAAGTAAACCACAGGAAACGCTGATCATTTGGATGGATCACAATATGAAGGTAGGCATACTTTAGAGCCATAGTTGCCATGAACTAAACATTTAGCACTAATAGCAAAACAGATCACATGGTCTCCATCTTGAAAGTGAGATTTTAAAGGAGCAGGTTAAGGGACTGGAGGTCTAGGATAGGCCGTAATGATCATGATCACAAACAATTTCAAGTAGAACACCAGACCCTATTTGGGAACTGGAATGGGAGAAGTGACTATATTCCTTACTAAAGTGAGTGTATAGGACATGCACTATTCAAACTCCATGTTTTGGTACCTGTACTACAAAATAAAAGGCAATGTTTCGACATGTCTGTCTTTTTCAAGACACACATTGTGTCGATATGTTACCTATTATTTTGGATGGCTGAAAAAATCCACTCTACACTTCAACTACTGAGTGCAGCAGTTTTATTGCTTTGCATATGTTCCTGTCTAAGACATGCAGTCCAGAAAGGCATGACCCTTGAAAGGATCAGAGAAAGGATAAGATAGCAGGAACATATCCTTAGGAAGGCAGTGCTTAAAGCCAGGCTGAAGAAACCACACACAAGATGCATGGGTCTGACATGGACTGGGTTCAGGTGTCCCTGAAGAATTGCAGATGCCTCTTAACAACTCAGGCCGTGAATGGGGTCACATTAATGCAAACTTTGTAGGAGCAGCAAATGTATTGTTCTGTCTCGCTTTCTTCTAAGAGGAAAAACCTTGTTTCCAGGGGTGTAAGATGTTTCAGAGGACTCTGAGTAAGCAGAAGCATTAGAAGAGAACCAAGCACCAAAAGGAACTAAAGCAACATGAAGAAGACCCTGGAATGAGGCCTTCTTATCCTTTGGAATCAAGGCACTCTTACTGCCAGCAAACATGGACATGATGGTGTCCAGACCAGCACCAAAAAAAGACTTAAAGGGCAATGTCAAAAGCTGCAACCTGGGCCAAAGATAGGTGACTAGGACTTGAGTCACGAAGCCCATCTAGGAGCTACACTCAATGCTGGCAACTGGATGTTAAATAAACAACCGCAGCCAAGGAGTTGTATAGGAATTTGTTTGCCAGCTTTAGAAAGTGAACACCATCAAAGGCATCTGCAGAGAGCGATCATACTGATGGCAAGAAGGAAAAGCGCACCCAATACCTAAAAGGAGTATCTAAGGAACCCTTCAAATTATTAGTCCATGGGGTGTGTAAGTGGCATACTGTCCTCCAAAGGAATAGTAGTCTTTTTGGGTATCTAGTTTAGGGACAGTGTACCTAATGGTCAGCATTCCATCAGTGAGAGAAAACATCTTAGCAAACGTAGGGAAACGAACAAAGGCAGTCCCTGTTTTGCCCTAATAGTTTTCACCAAGGCCATAACAGCCTTAGGGTATGAAAACGTTGGGGTGCCCCAAATGCAGTTGATCAAGCACATAGGAATCTCTGCAACCAGTGGAGCCTTCATCACCTTAAGAGTGCGCACAGCATCTTTGAGAGGAGAAAACACACGTGCTTGATCTTAAAGGAGTAAGTCACATACTTCTCTATAAGGATCCTGAAAGGCATGAGGAAACAGATTGAACTGGCATCAGACTTTGAAAAGTAGTCATGCCCAAAGCTAAGTAGGCAATATGCAGCATTCCCCTTGACAAATGAGAGTCAAATAAGGGCACTATGCACAATACTAGCATGCTTAGCAGGAATCAGCTGTAAGAATCTGGCACATGAGGCATAGTGTTAAACAAGCCAGCCATCACAGCTTAAACATAGGCCTAGAAAGTCAGGAAGGGTTGTCCCTGTGGCTAGAAGCAGCACCAAACTCCACAGAGGGATCAGACAAATTTACAAAGGAAACAACCAAAGGGCTTGACATAGAAGCACTAGACCCTGAAGGGAATTCAAGTGGTTAGTACACCTGCAAACAAAGAACAGATATTAACCCTCACAGCAAACAGGAGTAAAGGAGACTGGAGCCAGACAGTTTAAACTAGGATTCAATAGGTATGGATTTCTCCCCACCTTCCATTAGGGACAAACGTGAACCTGCTAAATGCTTATTTGTACAGAGGGTGTAGAGCTGGAGGAAACCAGGAGAAAACTCTTCATAGCTGGTTGGCGTCCACTGAAGAGAGAGCAGGAGCAGCAGTAATGAGTCTCACAAGCTTTACCACTCCCGGAAGGTTTAGAATGGCTCTCTGGGTCTGAATGAGCTTGGTTAAAGTTGGTTTTCTTTTAAAACCACTAAAATGAGCGGTGAACCACACTGTGTCCCTCCCATGAAGACCTCAGATTTGCATAACTGACACTACTGCAGGAACCTCTCTTAAAGAGGCTCCATCCTCATAAAACTGTTCAAAAAGAGACTGGGGAAAGTGGGGAACTACCTCCAGAGTCACTCCTTTACACTATAGGATGACATAGGGAGGACAGTATCTGGCACTTACCTGAAACGCACCCTGGTGCCTTCAAAAGAGAGGATATATCCCATATGGGTCTCAAGCTAGGCCATCGAGCAGAGAAAGCATTATAATCAAACTGAACTGGCCATAGATTGACCTGTATTCACAGTCTATGAAATGTGTCAGTGGGGTTTGATATGTGTCAGATTTCAACTTAGGAGGATGTTCTCTTCGTTTTCTTGTTTTTAGACACAGTGCTTGGCGTTTGTTTTTTTTGTTGAGAAAGCATCAGTGCAGATTAAAAAAATTCCAGTCGCCTTTTTTCTTCTTCCATTTCCTCTTATGGACTGATTATGTTGTATATCATTTAATCCACACATATTTTGCCCTTTTCTTGCCTTGCTTTTTATATGTTTTGCAATAAACCATAACTTCTCAATACATTTCTATGTGGACTATAGTGCCAGCTGAGCGCGATTAGTAGATTAGTAGATTTGCTATTTTACATATGACATGTACCTGCTTTCCTGCAAGTATTTCCAGTGCTGATTCATATCATCTAGTCTCCGATCAATCAATTGCACATGAACTCCTGCATGTACCTCGGAGTCATCCACTCCTAAAACCAGGCCAGGAAAAGCAGAGTTAATGATCTGTCCGTCAAGGAACTCAAACTGCTGGCGATGGATCTGTGGCACTTTAATGACTTTTCGACTGGACCTAAGCATAATAAAATAGGAAAGCATTACAATTTGTTTAATTAAAAATAATATATGTGTCCGATTTTAAATCGAAGTGGCATGTTTATTTTTTAACAGTATTTCTAAAATAATCTTTAAAAAAACAGATTCAATAGAGATTCTCATAAAATATGGTATCCTGCAAAGTTATCCCAAATACGCTATTTGCTAACTGGTGTAACTTTCCCCCAATGCCAAATAGTAAAAGTTTCCTCCTTGAGAAATTTCTCTATTATAAACGATAGTAACCACAACACAATCTGCTGTTAGCTAAATGGGTTTGCTGTTTCACTTTGTGTAAATTCTACCCCTGGTGAGTCCAAGTGCATTGTCTGACTATACGAGTAACACCTGTACAATTACACCTTCTAGTATTGCAGCAGAAAGCGGTGCAATGTGCTGCTCACCTCTGTGGCATTTAAAGGGTAGAAAATCGATTTAAACTAATACATGTTAAGGGCTGTCAGATCTACCATGTGATAAGAAAAAGATGATTGAGGTCCATTGGACTCCATTATTTATCAGAGGAGGTCCATTGTACAGCTTCTCCTGCTCCATCCCTTGTGTGGACCACTGGAGGGGAGACAAACCAGGTCTGGTTATAAGTGGGTCCTAGCCTTTCCTCCATGCTGTGGGTTGTGGGGGCAGGGTAATCCTCTGGTGGAGAACATTCTCAGATCATATTAGGTTGAGGTCCAGAGGACTGAATATATTTTGGTACTAATAGTTAGGAACAGTCAGAGAGGATTGGGCGGGCAGGGTATGTGCCAATTGTCAGGCCACGAAATGCCAAGTAGGGGCCAGAAATGGATAAAGATAGGAGGTCATATACCAGTCGCCTCTCCAATGAATTCCACCTTTATTTTATTGTTAATAAAAATCTTTATTAGCGTCAATAATTGCAGGAATACAAGTTATGTTTTATGTCCGGTTTAAAATGGAGTTGTCTGATAAAGTCTCTTCGATTGAACTGATAACCACATAGGCTTTACTGACCGATAAAGATTTTGTAGATCATTCACAGGATCCTGAGATGTGAAAATGTTCTGTTCTTCTGGATCATGCATTGTGTGCTGCCATGCATATCTGATGTCTGAGTACATGGCATCTACTTTTCTATGAGCTCGGGCATGTGAGTCTCTGTAGAAAAACAAAGACCATTTTATAATTACAATATTACATTCAGTTCAGGTTACTTTATATAACTTTATTGGACATTAAGGCACACACGGTTTAAAGGAACATTAGAAACGTCTAAAAACACGTTATATACCTTTATTCCAGCGCTGCGCAGGTCCGACTACGCTACGCCTCCCTTGGCTGAGATCATCAAACCTGATGATCTAAGCAAATTCAATGCTTTCCCATACAAAAGCATTGGAGGCTTTCAGGCATGTGTGGCAAAATGCTGCCAAGCACTAATCAGCATCTCCTCATAGAGATACATGGAGTTAATGCATCTCTATGAGGAATGTTCAGCACCTCCATGCAGGGGTTGGAGATGCTGGATGTCAGTGCTGCACTGACACAAGAAGCACCTCTAGTAGCCGTCTGAGTGAAGGCTACTAGAGGTTTTACTAGGCAGTAATGTAAACACTGCCTTTTCTCTGATAAGGCAGTGTTTACATTAAAAAGCCTGCAGGGACAGGCAGTAGACACCATAAAAACTACATTAAGCTGTAGTTTTTCTGGTGACGATATTATCCCTTTAAGGAGTTCATATAGATGGAAGTTGCTACCATGAGTATATAAAAGTGAGTATCTATATAAAATAATAGAAATGGGGGTTAGTTTGGGGATTTGGTTAAAAACTAAATGTTGTGAAGATATACATTATGTCCTTTGATTCAAACTTCGGAGTAATTAGACTTCATGAGACATATGAAACATGAGACATGAAAACTTCACTTGCCAAGGTCCACCATGGGGTTTGAAGAACTCTTCTTTAACTCGATAACTGCTCCTTTACCTTAACAGACTACCCTGCCAGAACAAAGAGATGTATAGAGAGACGGAGACACGATTTGTAAGGAGAATAGGAGAGATCGAAAGAGGATTGGTAGGAACGAGGGGGAAGGGGCAATTTGTGAGAAGAGTATGAGGGGAAAGGACATGATTTGTATAGAGTGAGGAATAATGATTTGATTTCTAGGAAGAAACAAATGATGGCTGCAGAGGGAGTGATCTTGCCTGGGTGTGGGCCTTAGGAGAAATTAAACTGAGATCAATGATAGGATGTTAGCACTGATCCTGAATAAATGACGTACAGCTACAGAACGAGTATTGCATAAAATATCACTAACAGACCCAGAGTGGTATTATAATACAGTGCTACGTTATGAATAAGCAGTATGCTGGCATTTTTGGGAAAGCAAATTCCTAACAGGACAACCATCTAAACAAATTGCCACCTGTCAATCATTGTCTGCTTTACAATGGCTCCAATTGGACCTTTTTACAGCTTTAGGAAGCCAGCTGATTGGTTGGCAATAGCAGTAGTTGCAGGGGCCAGAGAGGCATGAAGGGCCCTCACAATGTATACTCTCATTGTCCTGGGAATGAATGCAGCCTAGCTTCGATACTTTACCACAGCAGACTCCAAAAACACATCCCACTTATAACACATGGGCTTTCGGTGAAGGTTGCCACACTTGAGCACTAATTTATGTGTTGCCAGGTATCTATTTCTGATTTTGTACCAAGACATGAATTGTTCCAGCCAGCCTTGCTGAGCTGTTATAATATCATGGTGCATGTACAAGGAACACAAGGTACTACAAAACTATCTGCAAGTAGCTTAAAACATGTTTATACTCACAGAAACTCATCAATGTCTTGTATAACGTCAGATTCACTTTCTTCATTTGTTTCCGCAGTTTCGTCTTCACTGGGTACCGATACAGCATAATTAACGGTCAGGTTAGCTCCTGCAACAATGTCCCCACACACCTCTAGAACGAGATCTACAAAGATACAGAGAGGAATTCAAAGAAACTACTGGCAGAATTCACTGGCAGAATTCAAATGGCAGAAGAAGACCTCTCCTAAAAGCTTGAAGGAACACTCAGAGAGCCATAACCATTACAGCAGATTGTAGTGGTTATGGTGCGAGGGTCGCTTGGGTATTCTCCCAGAGAAATGTTTCAAACCATTTAAGAATAGTTTAACGATGTACCTGGGTCCCCTGGGGTCAGGCCTTAATGTGGCTCTGTCAGCTCAAACTGACCTTTCTCCCATTGTTTCCTCGTTTCTTCCTCTTTCTGAATCTGTTCGTCTTTTCTTCATTTATCATCTACATTTCTCTTTAAAACATAAGACAAAGTAGGGACTACATTGTGTGATGTGTTTTTGCTACACTTGGAAATCTTCACAAAGGACGAGTCTTAAGGCAAGCTTCACCCTTTGCTAGCATGACACAGGAAGTGGTGCTTGCCTTAAGCTCTACCTTTTGTCACAATTGTCAAACGTAGCAAAAATACACAAGACAAATTAGTTCCTACTTTATCTTATGTTTTAAAGAGAAATAGATCAGAAATGAAAAGAAGAAGAACATATTCTGAAAGAAAAAGAGAAGAGGAAACAATAGGAGAAAGGTAAGTTTGAGTTAACAGAACCACGTTAACAGCCGAAATAACCGGATGTCTCCCATGAGCAAAGCACGGTTTGATCCAGCACTGCACTCACATTGGCTGAGAACACTGCAGCAGAATCCGTTAGCAGGCAGCGTGTCTACAGGTGTCCCGGGACATGTAAATATTGTTCTTAAATAGTTTGACAACTTACTATGGGAAGGCACCAAGATCACTACAGCGTGCTGTAGTGGTTATAGTGCTTGGAGTGTTCTGCAACACACAGAAGAAATACCCATAAACAACTACAGAGGAAAGCATATTATATATATTATAGTAAAGTGTAGTAATCCAGCATAGTATCTGCTGATAAACAGCCGTCCAGGTCAAATTCTTTATGCATCTTGGATAGGGCTAATTCACAAACAAGATTAATGTTAAAATATAAACAAACAGAGAAGAGACAGTTAAATGTTAACCGATTTGATCAGGACCCTCGCTGCCTCTTGTTTTGTAATTTGTTTGTTACAATTTACTTGTTTGGTCTTTTAATTCATTGTACAGCACACCAGAACATGTCTGCCCTCTATAAAATGTTTAAAATAATATAAAGATGCAGCAAAAAAACACAAATATTCATTTCCTCTTCACAAAACTAATTTCAAACTATTAGCATATAACACTAGTTATACTTACTCTCTGGGTTCCGTAAGCAGCAGTAATTCCGAATTAAAGATGCATCTGATGTAAGGTTGCTAAGCAGAAGTTGTTTTTTGCACTCAGCCGCAGACAGCCTCGGGTCCATCCACTGATCTCCGCATGAGACATATACCTGTCATAAATCTCACAAATCAGTGTTCTTTAAATTCTCATGGAAAGGAAAGGAAATATTAGATTCACAGCTTGGTAAATTATGAACAAAACAAGACTAAGTACTACGTGTGCATCTCTCCAGATGAATTTGGGATTAATGCTGACTTTTCAGGTAGAAGAAATATAAGAGAAACAGATTATATTACTGCAATAAAAACGCACCTTTTGTACTTGGATGGTTACGCTGTTAGATGAATTCGCCCCCTGGAGGATAGACCCCCATTATATTATTTATATTGAAGTGTAACTAACTTCCTTATTTAACAGAGGCATAAAATCCATTAAAACAGCAAGGGCACACTGATCTTGTGTCAAGTAGCAGAAAAGCTTAAAAATTAAACCCCATTCTCCTTGATCCTTACCATCTGATCTCTTTCAACATCTCTCAAATGTAAAATCTCAGTGCCGTTTTCATTAAATAGTCTGCGGGCTGCAGAAGGTAAATTCAATATCAATGTACACCTGAATTTAAATGTAAAAATATGTACAAATGAATGAACAGAAAGTTTTGTCGGGTTAATGAGTAAGTGCTTACACACTTGGATAATCACTGCAAAACATAGGTTTGGTTTCAATAAAATAAATGTTATGACCACAATTGTAATGTTGTGATAAGTGTGATATGTTTGTCTACTTTAATTGGATTTGTAGTTTACGCACGAAGTCAAGCTTACGTGTACATCCTTAGAATGGTTATGTTTGCCTTGCAAAGTGTACTACTCTGAAATCGTATTAAATGAATTTCTGCAATAGTCTGGTATATACTTGTATGTGCATCAACAAAATCTGATTAAAGGATATTTTTTTTTCCGGCCTATATATTACATATGACTACTGAATACAAAAAACGTTTTCTATTTGTATAACGTGTTTGTCATGACATTTGTGTACATGAATAACATCGGGTTTAAGTAGGGTAGAAGACGTGTATGTGCATATATTTGTCCACTGATAAACTCTACGCCTACTTTCAGAGTAAAAGGAGACTATTGATATGCAGCCATAGTGATCTCACAGGTTGAGCGACAGACCTGTACCAAAAGATCTCTCTCACTGCTGACATTTGTCGTTCCAAATATTTTAGTCCGAAGATCTGGGACATGATGACAGTATTCACACCTCTATTTCTTGTACAGCTGACTATAGAATGTGCAAAACAAAACCTCTGTGCTACAATTGTACTCATTGTAAAAAATTTTACTTATCATTGCATGCCAATAATGAGGGTTTTGTTACATAATAGGAAAATGTGTATCTAGAATTTTCCTTTACACCAATGAAAATCAGAAGCAAATGCAAAATATAGCTGAATGATGTGTTCACTAAACTGTATAGACTCCCAGGTCAACCCATTGTTTTGGGGGAGGAATGTCTCAACAGAATTTCACTGCCTAACTGGACAAAATATTATAGCGAGCAAATCTAGGTGTAGACTACTTCTATTATTTAGTTTGAGGCTGCTGCAATGTAGATTATTTCTTAAAGAAAAGTGATTTGTAAAAAACATAAAAATTGTTATCTCCCTATATATTTATGCTCACATGCAACTATTTTATCTACATCTAGCTACAACAGGTAGGGACAATAATGGGTACCTGCTGTGCTCCCAAGTATGCTACATTCTTTCTGGTGTAGCACGAACACAATGATTCTATAAACAATGAAAATTATACACAATTTGTCAAAAGCTAGCTGAGATATACAGTATTAGCAATGTTTTCTCCATATGAACTAGGGGTATGCTGGGTGTTCAATAACTCTCTAACCTGTATAACTGAAAATGACACAACAATAAAGCTAACTTTGCTCACAAAACTCCTATTAATGCAGACATACCTAGGTATGCAAAATTCTGAGAGAACTTTCAGAGGTAAAAGTCAAAATACCAGTCACAAGACAATTCGAGGTAATTTAAGACAATTATACAGCTTATCGGTAAATTAATACAAATCTATTTGTATATATATTATTTTACACTCACTGACCCCTGATCATTGATCAAGCTGCTGGCACATGCTGTAATGATCAGATGTTAGTAAAGGAGAAGTTCGGTTTCTCTGTATGAATTCATTATACAGACATATCTCATATAGTTAGCAATGAGTGACAACAAGCAACTGGGGAAGTTTGTTTCAATTTACTAGAGCACAGAGGAGCAAGCTCAGGATAAAATATGCACATCTCTATAAGTATACACCATTTTATCTCTAGACTTCATGCAGTCTTTAATCTATGTTCTATATGTCTATACGTCAATTCCGGGTTTGCCAGTAGACAGATGGGTAGCTGCCTACAGGTACATCTCTGCCAGGGACACCTACATTAGAACTGCAAAAGTAATTTTTTTCTCCATATTTAAATTTTGATCGGACCACTCCTTAGTGTCAATTACAATGGCAATTTTCACCCAGCACTTTCACACAGAATTCAATCCTTACCCATAGTCCTCACACCCTGCATTGTGCACAAAGCATTCTTGCCAGAGCAGAACGTGGAACCTTCCCTACGCGAAGAATTAAAGGGTGTAAACTGGTAACCAGCCTAGGGTCCGTGGGGTTTTAATCCTTCTCTGATTTTAGCCCTGCCATCTCACGTCCCCACTGACAGCACACATTACACATGGTCTTAACACACAACATTTACATACTACCATCATCATTCACATTTTGCCAACAACGTTTTACTGTTTTTGGGGTGTAGGGGCTGGTTAGTTTGACTGCTGAAAATGTGATCTATGGCTGCGTTTGTGAAATGATATCTTGTTAGTATTGAACACAATGAAATGACACCTGGAAACTACAAGATGCAACGCTGGCCTTAATGTTTTCCCAAATATTTACCCCGACTTATATTTCTGAATCCTAACTTGCAATTCTGTTTCTTATGCTATATAATACCCTAGAAAGTGGCATGTAATTAAATTATCCGTTATTAGTATTCCTGCAATCCTATACTGGGCCTTCAGACTGCTTGCATCACAAATACAGGCAAAAAACTGTCCGAATGTACCCCATGCTCATTCTCCCACATCAATAGGATAAATATTTACCTCTCTAAGAATTGCTGAAATTCCATTTGGTCTACCTTTACAAAATTGTCTTCAGGATTGTCTGAATTTCCCTGAGGTTTCCTTGGTTTCTTAGTAGATGGACCAACAGCACTACATATAAATAGAAGAAAGCAAAGAGGAAAAGCCGTAAAATTAATATAAAAGCAAGTTATACAAACGTTCTTCACTTTACCTAAACTGGGAATTATAAGGAATTGGTCAGGACATTTCACTTGTTGGGCCAAAATTATCAGTTTGAAAAATTCTCCAACTCGTTTTACCGCTAAACATGACATTCCGAGGTACATTTCGCGCAATGCTTGTTTGTAAGTATGTTTTCAATTAAAATAAGTCTTGTTTGTTTTTGGTGGTGATTCCAGTTTTAGTCAGGTGACTAAAATCTTATGGAAGCGATTACATATCCCTTGGATATGTTCTTCTGTTTAACATGTGACAGTGTTGGATTTTATTCATAGATTGTGGATTAATGCCTCACACTAATCAAAGTTCCATCTCTGCAATTTCTAACAGTGACTTACTGTTTCTTTAGCATGTTGGACATATTTGGTCCCACGATAACACATGCTCTGTTTTTATCCCAGTCCCCATTTTTTAACACCTTTAGTCGGACAGGAGTGTACGAGTCTGTGTGGTCCATGCATGGCTTCTCCAGTGGAGGGCTGTTTGAAATTAACGAACCCTGAATAGGCCAATCAAAGTCCTTGAAACAACAAAAACACAGACAAATATTAATCAAGTCTTTCTTCTGTCTTCATACATTAATAAATAAAAGCAATCAAAAGACTTAGCTGCCCTCTGCAGCATAGTCCATCCTTTAACGCAGAGCTCTCCTTTTTGTATAATCTCATCCTCATTGCTGGTACTCTGGGTAAGTACTCAGCTCAGCCTATAAATTATCAATGCAGGCTCTGGCCTACATTCTATCACTGTCCTCTAGATATTAGGACTCACACTGACCCCACATTGGATGAGCTATGCTGTGTTACATCCAATCAGGAAGAATTGTGAAATAAAGAGATGTGGCTGAGGGTGCCAGGATTTGCTGCTCAGGATAGAAAGCCTTTTTTTTTTCTATGGTAAAAATTAAAGGAGAACGTCACCTTAAAACCATTTATGCCCCTCCATCAAGTTTTAAAATCAAAGTTAAGCCAATGCTTTCCTTTAGGATATTGCACATGCGCAGCAAAATGCCGCACCACGCTGTGCCAATCAGCATCACCTCATATGGATGCATTGAATCAATGTAAGTCTATGGGGAACAATTAGCACCTCTATGCAGAGATGCTTAACATAGATGCTGCGCACAGTCCAGCACTGGACCAGAGATCACCACTGGTGGCCGACTGAGTGGCTGCTACTAGACGTGTTACTAGGCAGCAATGTAAACACACTGATACATACACAGACTGTGTCAGTTTGTATCTGAATATGTGCATGTCAGTGTTTTTATATGTGTGTATCCGTGTTAATGTGTAAGTATGTATGTAGGTGGCAGTATATGTGCATACATCCCAGTAATCAAACACAAACACAGAATGCAATCAAACACATGAATTACACATAAACACACACCTAAATTCAAACTCCAAAATGATATACACACACATTCATTCAAACACTAATACCACACAAATGTACACCCGCATATAGACAACACTACATACAAACATACCTCTGCAATCAAAACACAAACATTACATACAAACACCCCTTCATTCAAACACCAACACTACACACAAATGTACACCCGCAAATACAAGACAACACTACATACAAACCCACCCCTGCAATCAAAACAAAACCCTGCAATTAAACCCATATATTACATACAAACAGACACTTATTTAAAAAAAAACT